CGTCGTTTGGAGTCAACAAGTACAATTCCTAGTCATATGCTACAATAATTACGATGAAAAAAAAATGAGAAATCTAATATCACTTTGATAGAGGTGTCCACCCCCACCCCCAGGTAAGGTATTATATATATGTCAGTGCCCTTATCGTTATCGTTATATTATTTAATGTACTTACCGTTTAAAAACTACGTAACGCGATTGAATTTCTAATTGGTTTACCGTAAGTTACACATATACTAAATCATTTTTTCTGAACGTTTCCATTGGAAACACATTTTGCCGATTATTTGTTTCATTCGTTACGTAGGATATAAGTGTAACGGGGGGGGGGGGTAATAATTATAATAGGGGATGAATGATTACTGTTGCGGTTCAGGTGGTTATTCTTACACATGAAGCATGCAGTCTTTCTTTTTTATCGCAAAAGTGAATACGTACTATTCTTCTTGAGCAGGACATTGGCTCTAGGGTTTTGACCTTAACGGCTCGTCGACTAGTATAATCTCCGCCTATGTCGCAAGAGAAACCGTCCAAGCAAGAAGGAGTCGCATCACGTTCGTTATAATAAAAAACTTAGGCTCGAAAAAGAATAAAATTCAACCTTACCAGCAGAGTATAATGAGCATGTTCTAACAATAAAAAACTTAGGCTCGAAAAAGTATAAAATTCAACCTTACCAGCAGAGTATAATGAGCATGTTCTAACAACGACGAACAATCTTTTTTTCAACCCGAACCGGGTATATATGATTTCGAATTTTTTTATAGAATTAGTGTGTAAGGGTCCCTTTTGCGTTGATATAACAACTATCCAGGTTCCTTGTTACGAGTATACTTTGTTATGCAAAAAATTCCGTTTCTACTATTGAGATGATAGGGCCTCTGACTTTGTATTTGTGTTGTAGAAATCGCATAATCACTGTATAGTGGCTCAATACTTGGGCTAAGATGGATCATTCAGTCCGCAAAAAAACTAAAAGTAAGCTTATGAGTTAATTCACATTATATATCCGTGCATTCCATGCATTAGCATAGGACCCAGTTTGTGACTCGAGGACTATGTACATCGAAAAGTTCGTTGGATCGTGTAACACCAAAAGAAGTCAAAATTTGGGAAGAAATATCTATGAGAATTATTAACTGAAACATTAATTCGAGAAGCTAGGATAATGAGATATCCGTTATCCCATCTAGATTTCTTAGACTAAACCCCTTTCCCCAACACAACGTTTCCCCCGAAGCCAACCCATATCCTCGACAACCTATTTCATCAACATAACATTTTCCTGACAAATCTAGCTTGGTATACTAAGCAAAAATGTTGGGGAGGACCTTTATATATAACCTTAACTCTAATTTTAACCTAACCTGTTAATTCCATGCAAAACCAACCAATTAATACATTATATCACAATATCTCTTGTCAGGGAAATCTTCATTCGGGGAAACATCGAGAGTTCGGATAAATTAATATAGCAACACGTTAGACTAGAAATTCTAAGTTTACATTATTTAATTAACTTCGATATAAACATTTACCTGCATTTGTCAATTAAATTTAAAATTCTCTTCTTTTAATATCGATACGCGTGTAAAATCGAATGAGCGTATCATTGAACTTTGGCGTTGGAATTGACATTTTTACTCGCTGCTACAAGGACACAATGATGATTACTGTGGAAAAGCTTTATTTTAAACATTCTAATTTTAGCAAATTAAGTGAATAGGTCATTTAACTTTGTTGATTTTAGGTTAACGTTAACGTTAAGGGATGCAAACTTTAATGAGAATTATAGTTGTAGCACAAAGGGATACGCCATTGTCATTGTCCCTTTACAACAAAGCAATCTACCACGCGAGTTCCACATGATGTACATGTATAAATAGAGCAATTGCATTTAAGCAATAACGATAACGACAATAGTTTTACATGTATTTCGTAAAAATGAGTCACTAAACATCTAATCAGTTAACGATAAGAATAAAACAATTAATTTCGTGAATTATAATTTAATTTATTACCTCAACCTTTCCTTTTAGATCAAAGCAATCTAAAACACTATAACAGAGCGATGGTGTTTGTCTTTAAATTCTATTTTAATATTTAGAGATATTATCTATAATATTTCGGTGAAAATGACTCACTAAACATCTAATCAACTAACGGTAATAATAGAATGATCTCAATCCCTCAAAAGAATTTTTTCCTTTAGGCATTGTCCTATTTTTACTCTTTACACCAAAGTCGTCACAAATATTATAATCCTTACCACGCGAGTTCCGCGCGATAAAAACACTTGTATAAACGATGGCGCTTGCACAATAGCAGTCATCGACACTAAGCATCTAACCAGTTAAATAATAACTATAAGAAGAAAGTTAGTTTAGTGAATCACAGTTTAATTTATTGCCTCGACCCCTTCCTTATAGGTTATCCTCTTTTACTCTTTACACCAAAGCAATTTAATAGTCATTACCAACACCATAGCCCTTGTCACGCGATTAAATATATGTATAAATGGAGCAATGGTATTTGTAAAATATCAGTCGTTGATGTAACATTAACGATAATAATAAAAGATTGCCTCGATCCCTTTCTTTCTCTTCAAAGAATTTTTTCTTATAGGAATTGCCCTTTTCACCAAGACAATTCTAAATTTGGCGCTTTATAACACACCAGTTTAGAAAACTTTCAATTTATGCAATCTTCGCTCAACTGGTTCTTCGTTAAAGCGAACTTTACTGTGTACTAAATTAGTTTATTTACAAATTCACTATCAGTAAGTTTCAGGGGTGGCGAGCCTTACTAAAATACAAATTTCATGCCTCTTTTTGCAATGATGTGTCGTATTAAATTAAAACTTGATTCGTTTTCTTTAATACCATTTAAAGTCTTTATTTACTATTGATCATGTCTAGTTTTATCATGTATGGAATGAAACTTTGATATCTTCTGTGTGGGTTTGGTTTGTGATTCAATTTCCTCTTTGAGTTTTTTTTCATTTTTGGTTAGCTTTTTACCGATAATACGTACCGTTCGTGTTTGTAGGAATACTTTCCATTTCTTCATCAAATCCTTTACATTTCTACTCTTCTAGTCTCCTCGTAAAAAATTACTGCTGTTTTTTAAGATTTGTAAAGAGTTGTAATACTGAAAATGCAAAGTATTTAGTTTATTGTTGCCTGGATGGCGAATAGAATTGAAAAATCTTCAAGTTCTCTGGAATAGGATTCCAATATTTTCAATAATAAATTTGTATCATTCGGTAAGGGGAGTGATATATATAATGTAATTCTCAGGGGGAAGAGGAGGTCTCAAAAATTTTATCTTTCACGTGATCAAAAATAATTAGCCAATTAAATATAATAAAAATCTCACCTGGAAGAGGGGGTTACCTCTATAATAACTCAATATTACATAATATATATCACTCCTAGAGATGGCGCAGCAAGTACGAGACACTTATTTGTTACCTGTTGCAACACGTTGCAACTAGGTGATACTTTATTTGTCATCACATTGCAACAGTTGCCGCATCATCTTTAGTCACTCCCCTAACATTATTTATACAATACATTTAGTATCATAAATATCTATAGCTAGAGTGTATGGCTTTTCATTTAGCACTTTTGTATTAATATAAGAACTCCATAAATTTTTGTAATTAGTTTTATTTAAATTAGCTGATCGTAAGATCATGATGCACAAAACTCTTCATTGTAAATTGCAATCAGCCTTAAGATGATATTCCTAATGTTTGTTCCATGTACATGTAATACGCTAAGTTTTTAGTTATTTTATAACATTGTAATGCACTTTAGAGCAGTGATGACAAGTGACGCTGATATTAAGCACCCTAAAGAGTAATATCTCTGAATGAATTGTTTTCCTTCAGTATCATCAATTCATAATATCAATTCACGAATTAATTGAAGAATTATAAAAAAAGTACTATTATTAAATGTATTTAGTACTGTATAATACCAAATTTTGTTTTTGAATTTATAAAAGTAAGAGTACTATAATTATGAAAATTGCTGTATTGTAACTATAAATTCAATATATGTCAAACAGTACTAAAAAAGCATTTTTCAAAGATAATATCGCATTTAGAACTACTCTTATAGCTCTTACAATCATTGCAAAGATCGTTGTCACGTCTGAATCACATGACCCGACACTATGTACTATGGTGCACACCATCTAAAGTTATCAAACATTTATTTTTTTATAAAATGTATAAATTTCTCAACTAAGAAGAAAATTCAAAATTAATTCGTAAATATGGTAGAATAAGCCTGATTCTATTATATTTATGGATTAATTTTCTTAGTTGAGAAATTTATACATTTTATAAAAAATAAATGTTTGATGACTTTAGATGGTGTGCACCATAAATGAATTAAGCTAGAATTTTCATAAAACCTATAGTTCTGGTAATTTAGAAGCAATTTTCTTGCTTTTAGATAGATGATCTTATTTATTTTTTAAAAAAATATTGAAGATAAAAAATAATATTGTTTAGAGAAGAAATGTCTGCGATATTTTCCTCGTTACTTACATTGAGTTTTTAGAATTTAATGATTTCTGAGAATGTGTTTGTTATGTTATTATTAAAATATATATTATTTTCTCTCATGACCAAAAAAAATAATTTTTATCAAATTTGTACAAAATTTAAAAATAACTACGTCCATAGATAAATACGCGAACGTTCAACTTCTAAATTTTGAAAATTACGTACAACTAAATTATCAATTTGCAATTTGAAAACACAATTTATTGATTTTTTTAGATTATCTCAAAATTAGAATATGTTAGAATATTACTCGAAGTCAAATAAGTCGGATTATTTGGGTAATTTATTTTTTATCATTAAATATTTATGCTTAAACGACTGATTTGTGTTGTCTTCATACTAAGTCATGGAAATTTTATAGTACAAGTAAACTTTTAAGCTAGACATCATGGGTTAAAACACATAAATTGTTGACTCCACTATGTTAAAGGTGTGGCAGTCAACAAATGTGTTTAGCATGTTTAACGTTAAGGAATCTTTGTTGAAGATTCTACCAAGTAAATCAACACGAAAGTCTACATTTTATTTTACCGGATTCGATATTGGTGGCGGTACTTAATTCTTTATACTATGGCTGTTTTATTTAATTAAAACGATTTTTTGAATTGTTTGAATTTTATAATATACAGTCAAACCTCGATATAACGATATGGTGGAGATAATTAGTAAAAACATCGTTATATCGAAAATTTCGTTATAATGAGGGAATTTTTATTTTTATTAGAAGTGTTCGTGGATTGTCATCGTTATATTTAGTCGTTGCTATAACGAAATCTAATCGCTTTCGGGCAATCAAAAATAGGAATATCTTTGTACAAAGAAGATTACACTTCTTACGTCCTTGCTCTTCCAAGAGAAAATTATATTGACCTTTGGAAACTGAATATTGGATACCTGAAAGTGAGCGGTGCATACGTGTAGGAGTGAATCATCATCGTGAGCAATCTTTTGATAAAAAAATAACGTTAAACATTGACATGTACAAGCGTGAAGCTGCAGTAATTAGATCTAAACTGTAAGTTGTTCATATCTCTTTTAAGATGCATTATAAACTTGCTAAAGCCCTCTGAGTGAATAGTCAATAATAATTGCGACCATAAAAGGCTATAATGATTGATGATATGTGCAGATGGTATGTGCAGATTTTGCCACTATTACTATCATCTCATTTGTGATTTAATATTCTAGTCGGAATATCATCGAGTTAGGAGAAATATTATACAGCTGGCTCTCTTTATAATAAAGGTTTTGTTTTGCCTGAAAATTATTTAGGGAGCATTAATTGCATTATAATAATTTATATATTTTTTTATTCACAAATATGTTCTTATCGTTGTATATTCTTCAGGATGCAACTTTTCTTTTTGCACCATTCTTAAACCTTACCTGAGTGATGTCGAATGTATCATAATAAGTTTTCCTCAAAATAATACCTGCGCAAATACAATGCAACTAAAAATCGTAAAGATTGCTAATTAATAACATCTTAAATGTGGACGGTGGAACTTCTCAACTCACCTAATTTTTGTGGCACTCCCCTTAATTCGGAAATAATATTTGTGTTTAAATATAAGAGTCTTTAAGGGGTAAAACATGGACAGTAAATTGAAATATCCGTTGTGCTTCCTTCGATTCTGATGCGTTGAGTGTAATCCTGCAGGAGAAATAATTATACTAGGAATGGATACCATTTATATGTCCAGAGCTAATACATGTAATTTAAAAAATTAAATATAATTATTAGAATAAAATATCTAGATTTTTTATGTTCAACCAATCAGGAGCATGCAAGCCGACGGACAGAGTTCGCACGTGATTATATCGATCAAATAAGTACATGTACGTAGTAGAAATAGATTGTCCTTCGCTTCGCTCCGGACAAATTAAATAGCCATTATAAAATCAAAACATTCGTACGATCAATACTTTAATAAAAAATTATCGTTATCATTATAGTCATACATCGGCGATATACATGAAAAAGTAATTCTTGTATTACTTCGATACGTAGATGTATTGAAAGATATTAGCATGACAACAAATAATAGCGATAGCGATAAGTTTGATTAACTCAACTAATGACAATATTCGAGAATAATCAATTTGAGAATATTAAATCTCGGTATATAAATATTATGTGATGTTATCGTTATATCATATTTTACTTTATTTCTGCATGAAGGACGGAAAGTTAAAAGAAAAATCAGAATTTCGAGTAATTAATATTTCTATGCATAAAAATACGAATTAAATTAAAACCGAAAGACTATGTAGATAAGTGATAGAAACGGAACGAAGCAATTGGATAACTTAACGATGAACAGAAAATAAACCTTAAATTAGAGAATTCTAAAAAATATGGCTTGGTATAATGTTTGCAATAAAGCGTATTTATGATTCAGGTGGTGTGCTTGAAGAATCCTCGTCTTGTTGATTTGCAGGAATATCCTCAACCTGTGGCACTTCATTATCAATGGTCGAATGATTAGGTTGTAAATCAGAAAAAGGTATGAACTCAACTTCTATTATTGGAATCTCAGAATCAAAGCTGCGGTCTAAATCAAACAAAAAGTTTTCATTCAATATAGGAAGATCGGGTCCTTCAATGAAATTGGACCAAATGTTAGCAGATTCATCATGTTGCTGTTCCGTTTGGTGCAATTCATCAAGGCGAGCGGCGTCCTCATCGACTGAATAAGAATAGCGTAGAAGGTTATAATTATCATCAGTAAAGGGAAACATCTCTTGATTTGTATTCGAGTTCATTTTTATTATAAAGTATAAGATGTTTTTTGCTTTTAAGCTTTTCTGTTTTATTTTGCGAATTCAAGGTGCTTTTATAACCAAGTTAATTGTTATTTATATTAATACATATTCTTTTATAATTATTTTTCGTTTTCTAATATAAAAAGAATTTAAGTAAATGATTTATTATCAGTTTCATAAAAAATTAGAAAGTGCCTGGATTGCAAATCAAGTTACCCCAATTTAGTGAACAATCAATAAAGTTATCATTATGCAAAGAAGCATCTACCGTGTATCTCCGAAAATACGCTAACTCAAATTTCTTGGACGCCATTTGTTAGGTGGTATGTGACCCCGAAAATAAGCTCCCCCTCATTTTCAAGCTTAAAATCGTGTAAAAGTACACAAATATTAGCAGATTTCGGAGACACTGTATGCGGTATATGGCAAAGATGTGATTGTAGAGGGTGTGACTATATAAGTGGTGAGATAAAAGTAAATATGCATTTTAAACTGTGTGATATCAAGTTAATTCGGCAGTTTGATGATAATAAAAACAAGTTTGTCAAGAAAAAAAGAATTAAGAACTATTATCGTTATAAAAAGATATACAGTCAACCCCCGTTAAACCGAAGCACTAATTAGAACCTGCATAAATTGAATTTGGTTCCAGGAACAGTCATAGTTAACTCGCCTCGATAAATTGAAGTTTGTTCAGAACAGTTATATTAAACCTGAAATCAAATTCTGAATAAACCTGATAACTTTGACCACTTCGGTTTAACGGGATTGACTATGTGTATTTAATTTGATAATAGCAGTATTATGTACTGTAGATAGTCTGATTTCTCAAAGTTTTGCATCATTTATCATTATCGTTATCGTTATACGTATCGGTATTAGCATCAAATTAAATGCTAAAATACATTTATCGTCATCGCATAACGATAATACAGTACGTACGTATAATTATGTACACACATTCTAGCAAATGATAAACGTATTTTGAATTTAAGGAGTTCGATGTAGCACAAAAGAGGGATCATTTCCATAAAATTACATGTACGTAGTTCGAAAAAATTGAATTTACGTATTTGCTGTTTATTACATGTACACGTATAAGAATATTTCGTGTAGATTTTTCACTAAACATACAATTAATATCAAAAGAATTTTTTCCTTATAGGTATTGTCTTATTTTTACCCTTTACATCAAAGCAATTTAATAGTCGTTGCAAACACCATAGCCCCTGCCACGCGAGTTCCACGCGATAAAAAACACATGTATAAATGGAGCAATGGCGTTTGTAACATTAAATTCTAGAGATATTCTCCATAAGAATATTTAGGTGAAATCAATTAATGATAATAATAATAAAATGGTCTCAACCCCTTTCTTTCTCTTCAAAAGGATTTTTTCCTTTTAGGCATTGTCCTACTTTTATCCTTCACACCAAACAATCTAATAATCATAATCCTCGCCACGCGATAAAAAATACATGTATGAATAGAACGATGATGTTTGCACAATAGCAGTCATCATAAAAAAGTTAGTTTCGTGATTCACAGTGTAATTTATTGCCTCGACCCTTCCTTATAGATTGTCCTACTTTTACCCTTTACACAAAGCAATTTAATAGTCGTTAGCCCTTACCACGCGAGTTCCACGCGATAAAAATATATGGTATTAGTAGTCGTTGATGTAACATTAACGATAATAATAAAAGATTGCCTCGACCCCTTCCTTTTCTTTAAAAGAACTTTTTCCTATAGACATTGTCCTAATTTTGCCCTTTCTACCAAAGTAACCTAGTAGCATATAACCCCTGCCACGCGAATTCCACTCTCGATAAAAAAATATATAAACAGAACAATGGCGTTTGTGTAATAGCAGTCTTTGATGCAAAGTTATTTTTTATCAAAAATTTCAATGAAATACGCATACATATACATGTATTTTATTGTCTCGTCTGATAGAAGATTACTACGCGGTTTAACGAAGTGCACTGTTCCGGAGAATAAACTTCGTTATCCGTTATACAGAAAATTACTTGGCACTTCGTTAATTGAGTGTTTTAAGAATGCATCAGTTCGTTAAAGTGAGCTTACTGTGTACTATTCACAAATTACTATCAGTAGAATAGTTGAAGTTTCAGGGGCAGCGAGTCTTACTAAAATGATTCGAGATCTCAATGTTCATGCCCCTTTTTGTAATGATATGTTGTATTAAATTAAAACTTGATTCATTTTCTTTAATAACATTAGCTGACATTTATAGTCTTTATTTATTATTGGTCATGTTTATTTTTATCATTGTATGCAATGAAACTTTGATATCTTCCGGGTGGGTTTAGTTTTTGATTCAATATCATCCTTTTTATATTTTTGGTTATCTTTTTACTGATACTGCGATTTTTCTATTATTCATGAGAATCCTATCAAGTCCTTTCCCTATAAAAAATTCCTCTTATTTTTTAGAATTTTGTAAAGAGCTGTAATACTGAAAATGCAAAGTATTCAATAAATAGAATCGAAAAAGTCTTCAAGTTTCCAAACAGTTTGGACCTTTTTCCGGAATAGGATCCCAATATTTTTCAATAACTTGCACCATTTTAGGTCGTACTCCTTTATAAATATCCAACATGATGTATAATTCTTCAAAGCTATATCTGTTTGAACTAATATAAGAACTCCATAAATATAAATTTCGTAATGAAGTCGGCTGGATCAGTTAGTAATTCGAAAAATAATGCAATAAATGTACATATAATATATTGTTATAGTACATGTAATAACATAAATTCCCTTAATTTCCGAAACTTTACAAAAATAGTTGAAAACAAAAACTGTTCAAAGATAGTACAAAAGAAGAAATAATAGCAAAAATAGCTCAATAACATTTCATTTTTTACCTTTTATTTCAACTTTTATTTTACTCTTTACCTTTTATTTTATCTTTTTATCTTTTATTTTAGATTTTATTTTACATTTTACATTTTACCTTTTATTTTATTTTATAGTTTTTTACATTTATTTTCAAATAGTTATTTTTAATTTTATATAGTTATTATATTTGAAATTTATATTTTCAAAAAATATATACATAGAGATATCATCTGAGTCTTAACTTGACATGTTGTTGCAAATAAAAAATCAAATTCTCTTTTAACAAAAAT